TCTCAGGGTCTGAAAATACCATTCCGATCAGTAGTCCTTCTTTCCTCATGTTTACCATAAAAATCACCATAAAAATTACCATAAAAATTCAATTTCACAATTAAATCACCATAAACCCATCATAAAAACCCATTCTTCAGCACACACCCCGTAATCCCAGCACTTTGGGAGGCAAAAGCAGGAGGACCGCCTGAGCCCAGGGGTTCGAGACCAGCCTGGGCAACTTGGGGAGACCTTGTCACTATAATAAATCAAAAAATTAGCCAGGCGTGGTGGTGCACGCCTGTAGTTCCAGCTACTTGGAAGGCTGAGACGGGAGAATCGCCTGAACCCAGCAGGTTGAGGCTGTGGTGGCCGTGAGCATGCCACTGCATTCCAGCCTGGGTGACAGAGAGATTCCGACTCAAAAAAAAAAAACCACCTGTTCTTGAACTTTGCTATTATACATTGTTATGTCAGAAGGTGAACTCCTAGAGTTGGGCTTGGAGTCTGAGTAACATTTGGTTATGTAAAACAAATTTAAAAAAACAAATTATTATTTGTTCTTAAGAGTAAAATGGAGAGGATACAGGGTGGTAAGAAGTAGGTCAAATTATACATATATTTTGATAGATTACATATATGCATATATTATATAGATTACATGTATTTGTTTATATATATTCAAACTGTATGTATGTGTAAAAGTTGAAAAGCCAAGTACAATTCTTTTTTTTTTTTTTTTTTTTGTCAGAGTCTCACTCTGTTGCTCAGACTGGAGTGTAGTGACACGCTTGTGGCCACCGTAGCCTTGACTTGCTTGGGCTCAGGTGATCCTTCTGCCTCAGCTTTCCAAATAGCTGGAACTACAAGCGTGCACCACTATGCCCGGTTAATTTTTAAATTTATTTTAGAGATGAGGTCTTGCCATGTTGCCCAGGCTGGTCTCGAACTTTTGGGCTCAGGCAATCCTCTGCCTCCACCTCCCAAAGTGCTGGGATTACAGACGTGAGCCACTGCACCCGGCCCAAACCTGATTCTACTCTTTAGGTGTTTGAATATGTTAGAATCACTGGACACAGTGGCTCATGCCTATAATGCTAGCTCTTTGAAGGCTGAGGTGGGAGGATTGCTGGAGTCTAGGAGTTTGAGACCAGTGTAGGCAGTATAGCAAGACCAAAAAAAAAAAAAAAAAAAAATTAGCTGGGTGTGGTGATGCATCTCTGTAGTCCCAGCTATTCAAAAGGCAGAGGCAGAAGGATTGCCTGCGTCCAGGAGGTGGAGGCTGTGGTGAGCCATGATTCTGCAACCTGGACATCTCAGGCTTAGGGGATCCTACCACCTCAGCCTCCTGAGTAGCTGGGACTACAGGTGTGCACCATGATGCCTAGCTCTTTTTTTTTTTTTTCGGTAGAGACCAGGACTTGCTATGTTGTCCAGGGTGGTCTCAAACTCCTAGGCTCAAGCAAGCCTCCTGCCTTGGCCTCCTGAAGTGCTGAGATTACAGGTATAAGCCACTGCTCCTGGCCTTAACCTGATTCTTAATTTGCATAAGCCTGTCTCCCCCGCTAGCACTTAAGCTTCAGGATGGCTGGAGCTCAGTGCACAGAGGTACGAGGTAAGTATCTATGGGATGAATGAATGAATGAATGAATGAGCACATACTCAATTGGAGGCGCCTTGCTGGGAAGGCTCTGGGGAGCGAGGAGGGTGAGGAGGCTAGCAGGACCGCAGCAGGGTGCAGTATCTACTTGACGCTGCTTTACTGACTTTCCCACGCCACTCAGCACATTTCTGGTGTGGCTGGTTTTCATAATAGTCCCACCAAAATCATCCAGGAAGGTTGTAAATCTGCTGCAGCAAAAAGTAAAAACGGCATGCCTTTCAAAGCAAAGTGCATTTTTTGGGGTGTATTTTCTGTTTTGCAGTTGCTTTCTAAGTAGCATGAATAATCGTGCAGTCCCGGTCCGGAAATGTGTTGAGGAAGACCGACAGCCACCTGGAAGTGTTCTTTAGTTTGTTTGTTTGTTTGCAGTTGGAGTCTCGCCGTGTCGCCCAGGCTGGAGTGCAGTGGCACACTCATGGCCACCGCAGCCTCAACCTGCTGGGCTCAGGCGATCCTTACACCTCAGCCTTCCACTACCACGCCTGGCTATTTTTTAAATTTTTTATTGTAGAGATATCACCAAGTTACCCAGGCTGGTCTTGAACCCATGAGCTCAGGTAATCCTCTCACCTTGGTTTCTTTCTTTTTTTTTTAGTAGGAGTCTCACTCTGTCACCCAGACTGGAGTGCAGGGGCACGCTTCCAGCCACCACAGCCTCGACCTGCTGGGCTCCTGTGATCCTTCCGCCTCAGCTTCTAAGTAACTGGAACTACAGGTGCGCGCTACCATGCCTGGCTAATTTTTGATTTATTGTAGAGACGAGGTCTCACCAAGTTGCCGAGGTGGGTCTCAAACCCGTGGGCTCGGGTAGTTCTCTTGCCTTGGCCTCCCAAAGGCGTGGGATTACAGGCTGAGCCACCGAGCCCGGTGGAAGTTTTCTTTTTAATCACTATTTTTGAGTGTATGTGTTTTCTGTTGTAGTTATGACACATAGCCAGAAATGTAGTGGCTTAAAACAACACAAATGTATTATCTCACAGTTCTGTGGGTCTGAAATCTGACAATCTCACTGCACTGAGGTCACAGCATCGGCACCCCTGTGTTCCTTCAAAGGCTTGAGGGGGGCTAATCTATTTCCTTGCTTTTCCAGCTTTTAGAGGCTGCTGTCCACATCCCCAGGGTCTCGCCCTCTTCTAAGCCCTGGATGCCTGGTCCTCACACTGCGCCACGCTGTCTTCTTCCACAGTCACCTCTGCCTCCTTAGTGGCCACCTGGATAACTCAGCATATCCCTGTTGGGGTCAGCTGGTTAGTAACCATGACCCACCCAGATAACGCGGGGTCATCTGCCTGTTCAAAGTCGGCTGGTTAGCAACCGTGATGCCAGGTACACATCATTTCCCTCTGCCATCGGACCCGACACAGTCCCAGGCCCTGGGGACTGGGATGTGGACACCTCCAGACACTGTGCTGCTCACCAAATAGAATAGTTTTAGATTTCCTGAACAGTCACCCCCGTCCTTTGCCCAGCTTCCCTCAATGCTGTGATCTTACACAACCGAGGCACATTTGTCAAAACTATGCAGTCAGCCCTGGTACACCAGCCTTAACTGAACTCCAGACTCTGTTAGGATTTCCTCAGTCTCCCCACTGCTGCTTTCTGTGATTCCAGGATCCACTCCAGGGTAGCCCACTGCATTCAGCTGAAGGGATTCATGGCTTTCCTGTTGGTGCAAGAGCCAAACGCTGAAGTGGCCCGTCGAAGTGACTGGGACTGAAGAGGGTACTGAGAGTGAGTGACCAGGGATGAAACTTCGCACATTATGTGAACAGTGCAGTTACTAAAGGACTCTTAACTCCAACTCATGCTTCTATGATGTAAAAAACATTCCTAACCTTACCCTCCGATGTATGATGTTTGCCGAGGAATACACACTAGACCCTTTCTGTTTCAAGTCATCCCAACAATACAGAAGGGAGGGGATGTGTCATTTCATGAGGATGATCGTCTTGAAGCAGACAGCACGGTGTTGCTTGTTCTGAAGAGATGCCGGGTCAGGCTGGGAACGTAGATCACGTGCCAGCAAAATTACAAAACACTTTGAGTTTGGTTTTGGTGCCTGGTTCTCATTTCTGCAGTAATTTAAACAAAAAATTATGCGTGCAATTCATATTCCTTGCAGAAAAATTAAACACATAGGGAGAAACTTTTATTTTATTTTATTTATTTTTTTAGTTGCAAAGGTTGAATTTATTTTTTTTATTTTAATCAATTTTTTTAATGATATTGTGGGGTACAGTTAAGGGTTAGGTATACAAATATGCTCCGTTCAGGCACGCTTGTTGATAAGAGGTGTCTCCCCGTCCCCAGACAGATATTTACTACCATGATCTCGTGACCCAAAGCTGTAGAATTGTTAACATTCTTTTAGTCTTTTTTTTCCCCCTTGGCACATACATAGGTGTTATAATTCATATGTGAACGCTGGACAACACTGTTTCCACTCAGCGCATCCCAGGCATTCTTGACAACGCCTCGACCTGGTGTCCTTTTCTTTTTGGCCAGGTTTCTTGGTTGGGGCTTGATATGTTTCCTTGCTATGATCCCACAAGCTCAGGGAACTTAGCAGTCGATGCCCAAGAGTGCAGGACCTGTGCACGGCTGGCCACGTGGTCTGAGACTGCTTCACGGGGCCATTGGGAGGAGTGAGCTGTGCACGCGGACGAAGCCCGTGCTGGGCACTAAAACCCTGCGGGCGCGTAGGCCAGGGCCATCGTCCCCTGCGCGTTGCAGGGTGAGGGCCCGCTGGAGGACCCGGCCCAGGCCGTGCGTGTGGGCGCCGGCTCAGATGACCCCACGCCCCACACTCTCAGGCCTGCGCCTCCCTCCCGCCTTGCCCGCGGCCCGTCATCGCTGCCTTTTCTACCTCTCAGTTCCTCGGAGCCCCGCAAGAGAGGGCCTGGCCTCAGGACTGAGACTCAGCCAGACTCTCAGAGCCCTTCCTGAAGGCACGCCGCCAGAAGCCGCAGGGCGTC